ACAAGGTTAATTTTTTCCTCACACATTGAAGTGATGGTCTGTCCCTACGGACTTCATCTTCTACATCATCTTGTCCATTCCTAAAATAACTTATCCATTCGTAAGATGCTGATTTCTTTAGGTCACTGTCTCCATAAACTCTTAATAAAAGCATCAGTGATTTTACCATTCTTCCACCCAAGGTTTACCTTAATTCTGACGTTTGTTCTTGCTTCAAATTTAGCAGAATTTATGTTGCTAAAAATTTAGGCCAACAAATTATTATTATTATTAGTGATTCAAATTAGATCCTCTTCAGATGTTATAACAGGTCTGAACAAGTTTATTTTGATGTAAAAAAAAATTGAAATCCATGCATAATATTTCCATAATATGCATTTTCCATGAACTTTTTAAAGACCCTTCTTTTATAAAGGGCCTTCAAAAAGTTCATGGAAAATGAAATTAAAAGATAATGGAATTTTTCCATGAACTTTTTGAAGGTTCCACTTACGCAATATACAAACAACAAAATATGTGTATAAATAGCAAAACTGAAAAGACATTTTGACCACTTTTGAAAAAAACTAAACATGATGTTATTGTTTACACTACAATTAGCACTTCTACTGTTAAAATTTGGCAATATAAACATGTCAAAAATAAACAGAAAACTAAACCCACTAGAAGTGACAACAAAGAGCTAAATGGGTGATTTTGCTTCACATTTGTTATTTGGGTATACGTTTTGGGGTGCTTTTCTCATGTTTGCTACTTTTGAAAAAAAATCATTAAGAGGCATGTGAAAATACCTAAATGAACACAGGGGAAATAGTGTCAGAAATCAATGCTTTCCTACCAGCATGTTTAACCTACTGAAATGAAGTGTTAATCACAGAAATAAGATACCATATTACATTTATAAACGAATGAAACTAGAAAACGCAAAGCACATGCCACTGTAATTAAACAGCTGGAAGACATCCAAGCCTGTGTAAATTGATAACCCCGGTACAATCTCTGGCAATGAAAAGGCAGGTCTGCAGTGAGTTGATACGGCCAGCTCAGCTGTTAATTGAATAACAGGCAATCTATAAACACTACTAATTGCATATGTGAAACCTGTGTACAACTAGAGAAGCTGCCTAGAGCACTCCAGAAAAACTACATGGATAGAGCACTCGGCAAATCTTCTGTCTCTCTCAATCGTGTTAAGTTGTAGTTTAGTTTAGCCAGTGCATCCTTGTGATTAACCTCGACTTGGCCGACTTAATGAAACATTTTTCAAAAGAACATTTTTCTTCCTAACTCAATACGAACCACAGAACTATCAATTACCCATTTCAGAAAAGAACAAACAAGTAATCTAGAAAATTCATTCTGTGAACGGAAAGCTTTCTAAATTGTAAAAGAAGACATGGTCTTATTCCCAACAGGCAAAATGCTTTGCAGAATTGTTCCGGCACATTTTGCAGAAGTGTGGCAGCTGCTGTGAACAGCATGAGAGTGTTAAGATATGACACTTTTTTTTTTTCTTTCTTCTTCTTCTTAAAGATATAGCCATTTGGGAAGATTCTCAAATGGTTGTTAGAATTTCACTTATTCATCCATTAATAATGGAGTCAGGATGTGGCACTATAGAAAAAGTCCTGCACTACTAAACACACGGTTAGCAGTACAAATCCACCAGCCGCTCCTTGGAAATCCTGCCTATGGTTGCTAAGAATCAGAACCAACTCAACAGCACTTAACAACAACAAATCCATTTAATAAATTATTTAAAAATTATTATTTCAATCCCAGTGAATACAGCATGTTTCAAACTAACTGCTCTAGCATCTAACAGAATCTTTTCCTTTTTTCTAATCAGTCTAGAAGACTTGATGGCCCAAGGGTTAGTTATGAGATCTAAAAAAACCTCCTCCGGTTGAACATTCAAATCCAGGTGAGGCCAGTTGGAAGCAAAGGTCACTGTCATTCTTAAGCTGTGTAGCAGTTTCCTTCCATGAAATAAATTGACAGACTGAATCTAGTCCCTTGTAGATAAAATATCACATCATGAAACCCAGCACTACCAGAGTACTGTACATTGCTTAGAAGCACAAGCATGTTAAAAACTGATACTCACAACATGCATCCAACACTTACTGGCTATATAACTCTGAGAAAGAAACTTAAAGTCGCTGGGATTCAGTTTCTTCATGTATAAATTGGAGATTACAATATGGACTTCATTAGGTTGTTAAAAAGTTTTTAATATAGACAATAAGCTCATCACAGAGTCTGGCAGAAAAGTGCCTAATAATAATCTGCTGCTGCTGTATGCTGTTAATTTAATTCCGACTCATAATGACCCTCTATATCTTTACAGGAGCAGAAAGCCTCAACTTTCTTCCATCAAGCAGCTGGTGGATTTGAACTGTTGACCTTGTGGTTAGCAGCCTACCAATAACCCACTACTTTACCAGGGCTCCTTTATAATAGTCTAGTTTTTAAAACAAAGAAAGCAGGCCTAAGAGCATAAACCCAAGTCAATTCTTACTTATAGTAACTCTAGAGCACAGAGTAGAATGCACCATAGGGTTTCCAAAGCTCTAATCGTTATGGATGGAGCACAGTGGCTCTGTAGGGTATGCACTAGACTGTTAACCACAAGGTCGGTGATTCAAGTCTACCAGCTGATCCAAGGGAGAAAGATGAGGTTTCTACTCCCATCAATATTTTCAGCCTCAGAAACCCTATACAAGGTGGCTATGAGTTGGAACTGACTCCAAAGCACTTAACAACAACAGTCTTTATGGAAGCCGACTGCCGTACCTTTCTCCTATAGAGCTGTGTTACATCAACCAACTTTCACTTAGCAGCAAATGCTTAACCACTTTGCCACCAGGACTTTTTCAACCGAATGGAGACAAAAGTAAATACCAAAATGTGGGCAGCAACAGCATGCAAGCTGACATGGCAGTGACTGAAGCTGGGTTCTTCACACATTTATTTCATCGGTGTAAAAAGGAATATAGGTTTCACCACAGTTCCTCAAAACTTTTGAATTTGAGTGCCCTTGCTTTCAGTTATAGACATACTTCAGCTACCTGATGCTCTTTATCAGAATGTAGGGTAATTCTTCAAACATGAGGCTGTCCTTTGATAAGTAATAAAAATGCAAAGAACCTACAAAATTAAAAAAAAAAAATTTTAAAGATAAGTTTATAAGTTGGAAAGTGTGATGGATGGTATGCACGGGGAAAGAAATAAAGTATATGAAAGCAATGTCATCTCTACTTTCCGTCTTGCTACTTAGAGAGCTCTTACTCTCCAAATGCCCCCAGACTGCTAGGGGAAAGTTCTGATTAGTGATATATAGATATTAATTTCAACCAGTTTTCTCAGAAATTGGAATGGACAATAACTAAATTCCTTTCCCCAACTCCCTGTAATTAATGAAAGGCATATAAATGAAAAGATCATTATGACCCAGACAGGCTTCCACCTCTTTATAACAATAAGCCCATTGAGGGATTACTTCAATGACAGAGGACCCATACTTATTTGAGTACTGGCAACCTTCTGAAACCTATACATGCTTCCAGAACATTCAGCCTTTCACCATGTATAAACAGATTTCTCATCATCACCGCATTTGAACTTTAAGAATTTGGCAACTGTTTACATAGTAGAGCTCTGTACTCTCGAGTTAATTTTATTTCTTGCTCCACTTACCTAAACTTCCTGATCTATTATCATTCTCAGATGTTTACTTGCCAATGTTCAAAGACTGGATATATACAGATACTACTAATAAAAGGCAATAATAGAGAAAAATGTAAAGAGGTATTCCAGTTATGTCAAAACTAGCCTATAGTGGAGCCATTGGAATGGAACCCCACCATAAGTTAGGGAGTACCTACCTGTACAATAAACTCATTTAATTTCAAAACATTGTGTACCACTTTCAATCTAGAACCGAGGCCACTCATGGAGGTCATCTTGCAGCCAATCATCGATTGGCCTTTAAAATAAACAATAATACTCCTGAGGAGTGTGCTCCTTTAAGCAATCAACTATAAGACACCAAGCAGTCAACATTTACACAAAAACAAAGATGAAAAGGCAAGGAGGAGCAGGAAAAAGGATGGCTAGGAAAGGGACAGGCTAGGTAGTAATGGTGAGAGCACAGACACGCTAGGTGAATTGTAACCAATGCCATAAAACAATTTATATATAAATTGTAGATGGGAATCTAATTTACTATGTAAGCTGTCACTAAAAACACATTAAAGTATTTTTTTAAATATTTAGATATCAGTTAGAAACCAAATTTTGTAGTTAAAGAATCCTTTAACTCACACACCTAAAGCTATTTCTGTTGTTGTTAGGTGCCTTGGAGTTGGTTTTCACTCAAAAAGAACCTATGTAAAAAAGAACGAAACGTTGTCTTGTCCCGTGCCATCCTCACAATTGTTCCTATACTGGAGCCCACTGTTGAAGCCACTGTGTCAATCTATCTTGTAGTCTTCTTTTTCCTGCTGACCTCTACTTTATCAAGCATGATGTGCTTCTCCAGGGATGTGTTTCTAAGCTGTGTGATGCATGGTAGGACATGTCCAAAGTATGTGAGAAGTCTCATCATACTTGTTTAATTACTTCCTAAAACTACACTCTATCTGCAAATCATATTTTCCCAAATTCAAGAAATGAAAATGTGATGCAAATGGATTATACTTTTCCTGAAGACCATGAATGTTTAAAGCTTGTGTATGCCATTTCAGTCTTGCCATTCAAAATTATCAGAAAAGGACTCCTTGAGTTTCAACAGGACGTAGAAGGTAGAGAATGTTTAAAACAAACAACTATTTTAAACTTTGGCCCTCAGAAGTTTTCTAAAAGAAGTGAGCAGTACTCAAGAGCTTCAGCAAAGTCATATGGGAGATGAGTCATACTGAAGATACAGCTTAACCAGTGAGAGCTGGTTTGGGGGATACAAAAGAAGGGGAACAAACATAAAGGAATGCACAAATTACCTTCAACATCGCAACTCAGGTAGTTACGCACTTCATTCAAAATAAAGTTGATATCTTCTTCGGAAGGAATAGGGTGGTGTGTGATCCCTGTTGGAGTATCAGTAGTGCCAGCTATCGTCATCTTTTGCCAAGGTAAGAAGAAAATAACTCGCCCATCACTGGTGGCTGGGTCAAGAAGTCCCATGTTCTCTGGGCTGAGGAATAAAGGATTATTTATTACTGAAATTAGCAGAACATTAATCTTAATCTATGTTATAAAAATGGTTTCATTCACTGATTCCCAAATAAACAAGAAAAACATAAATCAATACCTTTCCTCCTGTACCCTAATTTATAAATTCCTAAAAAAAATAACTAATTTTGGTTAAAAAAATAATAAAGCAACTGTGACAATAATGATAGTCCCCAACACACCAAAACTCAAGGCTAATTAAGCAAGTGGCCATCAATCTCCAGTTGTTTTTGTTTTGATACTCCTTGGACCATTCACATCACAGAATGTCAGCAGGCTCAATGTCTGTAACTTCTTTTATGATGGTTAATTAAGAGTAGCTCTTCAAACTTCCAAACCTATAAAATGCGTTTTCCTGGGACATTTGACATTTTGCACATCTTTCAGTAGAAGGTCTCCAAAGTACATGAGAAAGTGAAGGGTCTAAGTTCTTAGAAACTAAAATGTAATCAAAAAGTTCTTGACTCTTTGGTGCTTAGATGAGCTTGAGCCACTTCACTAAATATGAGGTTTCTTTCTTAATTTCAAGGGCCTAGAAATCTAAAGAAGTGCATCCAGGAAAAAAAAGGGCTTGGCTCATGCTACAACCTAAATAACAATGTGCTAGGATAAGGTCAAAAAGGAGACGAGTACTCTAGCAATGATAATTCTTAACTAGACAGAACATTAGTGTTTTGGGCTATTAAAGTCAAGTTCAGGTGTGCCTCTTCTGGTAGACTATATAAAATCTTCTAAAGTATTAGTCAAGAATTTCCACTGACATGTTAACATTCTGAAACCAAATTTTTAAAACACACTTGAAAGAATAAGCAAATGAAAATAAACATTAGCAAAACAAGCCAGATTTTGTTTTTAAATCACAAGAAACTATTGTTTTAATGTATTCAATAATCATTCAAGAAATATTGGAAAATGTTTTAAAAGGATAGGAGGAAGATGTTGTTGTTGTTAAGTGCTGTTGAGTTGGTTTCAACTCATAGCAACCCTGTATAGGGTTTCTAAGGAGCAGCTGGTGAGCCTGAACCAGCGACCTTACATTTCAAACCGACCTTGCAGTCCAGCACACCAACCCACAGTGCCACACCAGGGCACTACAGATCTTCAGGTAGATGTTCTAGTTTGTCTAAATTTTCATATGAAGTCAATATTTAAGGTGGTTGGTGGTGGTTATATCCCTTTGAGTTGATTCTGACTCAGAGACCCTGGATAGGGTTCCTGAGGCTGTATATCTTTACAGGAGCAGAAAGCCTCATCTTTCTCCTGTGTAGCAGCTGACAGATTCAATTTATTGACCTTGAGATTAGAAGCCCAATGCAAAACCCACTACACACCAGGTTGTGTGTTCTATTAACATAGATCTAGCTTCTATTAATACAACTTCTTAAATGGTGGTGGTGATTATGTGTGTTAAAGTTGATTCCAACTCACAACCATCTTGCATAGGGTTTCCAAGGTTGTAAATCTTTATGGGAGCAGAAAGCCTCATCTTTCTCCCTATGAACGGTAGGTAGATTTGAACTACTGACCTTGCAGTTAGCAGCACAACTTGTAATCAATCCCCTGTGCTACCATAGCAAGAAACAAAATTTGATGTTTGAGAAAACTTCAAGAAATCCATTTTATGCATACAAAATTAAAAGGATAACTCTTTGACTTTTATTCCCTTATATTTTTTAATTGATTCAAATATGTAAGGATGAGATCTAACAATTGTTTAAGAGGATTATAAAAAAGCATAGAAGACTATTTTTTTAAAAAAAGAACTCTAAGGTTGGTTTAGGTAATGCACCTTCATTATTTACACCACAAGTAATCCTAATCTTTCTTTACAAAGTCCCCTCAGTCTTATGCAATGTTCAGCCTTTGCAGGAGGACACAGAAGAGGTTGGGCTGCATCTCTTCTATCTAGCAGATACAAAAGGTGCCACAGAAGTGGGACAATCATTCAAATCTTCACCTGAGATCCCACCTTCACTCATGGTTCTTTAGAGGAAATAACTTTACTTTCACTCCGTTATTATTAAGTGCCATCAAGCCAGTTCTGACTCATAGCGACCCAGTATAAGGCTTCCAAGGAGTGGCTGGTGAGTTTGAACTACTGACCTCACAGTTAGCTGTCCACTGTTTATCATACAGTGCCACACCAGGACTCCCTCTAATATACTGAAAATCACTGTTTGTCAAGTATTTTCAGTCTCTGTATGACTATACAGGATCCTCCGTGCTGGCATTGGGCTGCTCACCACAAGATCAGTCGTTCCAGTCCACCTGGCGCACCTAGGGAGAAAGATGAAGCTTTCGGTTTCTGTAAAGATATACAGCCTCTGAAACTTTATACAGGGTTACTATGAGTCAAAACTGACTCTAAGGCACACAACCAGCAGCCAGTCAGTATGACTGTTGTTGTTGTTAAGTACCGTGGAGTCGGTTCTGACTCATAGTGACTTTGCACAGAGTTTCCGAGGCTGCAAAGCTTTACAGGAGCAGAAAGTCTCATCTTTCTCCCGTGGAACTGCTGGCAGTTTCAAACTGCCAACCTTGAGGTCAGCAGCCCGATTCGTAACCACTACACTACCAGAGCTCTTTATATTCTATATATTTATCATGAACCATGGAGTTGGTTCTGACTCGTTGTTGTTGTTAAGTATCATTGAGTCGGTTCTGACACATAGAGACCCTGTATAGGGTTCCTGAAGAGAGACTGGTGAGTTTGAACTGCCGACCCTGTAATTCAAACCGACCTTGCAGTCCAGTGCTTTATCCCACAGGACCACACCAGGACCCTGTATAGGGTTTCTGCGGAGTAGCCGACCTTGAAGTCAGCAGTCCAGTCCTATAATGCCATACCAGGACTCCATATTTGTCATAGAACTATGAAAGTCTTAAAGAAACTGGCTGTCATCTGCTTTGATTCTGAGGAGTTATGTCTTTAGGGTAAAATTTGGCATTTGAAATTAACTGTTCAACTGAAACACTGTCCTACATTGAAGCAAAAGTGTAAATTCCATTCTCCAGAATTTAAGGAGAAATATATGAGGGGCTTCAAAAACTTTTTGGAAAAATTCTGTTACCTTTTAATTTCATTTTTTTCCAAAAACTTTTGAAGCGCCCTTGAACTTGTTGATATACTTCACATAGAATCATTTTATGGACCAGATATCACATGATATGCCTAAGTAAACTTGATAAACTTTAACATAAAACTTTAATATTCACCAACCACCACACAAAATTCTATTAGAAAAGCATAACTACTGAATCCTTTTTAAAACAGTTCAGTGCAATTAAAGCAGTTTAAAGGGTGAAGGTGATGGTTACCAATACGCACATAACTGAAACTCAGAGAAGCAACTGCTTAAGTGAAGACATATGTGCCAAACATTAAAATTAACAAGCACAGAGGGAAGTCAGGCTATTAGTGAATGATATAAAAATTAAAGAATGCGCTGGAAATACCATTCTTAGTTCTAAAACAAAATCTGAATGAGAGCTGGGTAGCAGAGCACTCCTAATCCAGACCCTTTAGAGAAAATTTTTTTTTCTATGAAAGATTAATTCTGCAAGGTCACATTTATGTTTGACAATAGCAACTAGCTCTGGTAGCATAGTGGCTACGAATCGGGCTGCGAACCACAAAGTCAGCAGTTCAAAACTACCAGCTGTTCCACAGGAGAAAGATGAGGCTTTCTGCTCCTGTAAAGATTTACAGCCTCAGAAACCCTGGACGGGGTCACTATGAGTCAGAACCAACTCCACGGCACACAACAACAACAATAATACTAAGTTAAGGAGGCCTGCTGTGGCGCTGTAGGACAAGTCCTGACTGCCATCCACAAAGTCGGGGGTTCATACCCACAAGTCGCTCCTCGGGAAGCCCTATACAGGGTTGCAGTGAGTTAGAACTGACTCATCAGCACTTAACAATACTAAAAAGACAATAGCATATACAATCCATGGTGAGCCACAGGCCTTTTTGCACTATGTATGATTCATTTGGCATCAAGAGGAAAAAGTTTGTTAATTTATGTGTGTGTCTCCGATCGAATGTAATAATCCTTTTTCTCATATAGATCACTGCTTTCCTGAAGTACTCTTGTTTAAACTGAAATCAATTTACTGTTAATTATTTAGCAATCAGTGCTAGAGATAACAGTACGTACACATTTTACAGAGAAAAAAAGTTTGGTGTCTTGCCAGTATTAAAAACCATCAGTAGGCTAGAAGATCATTATTTTCACTAGTGTATTGCTGTTGATTTTGTAAGAGCCACAAACCTGAGTATAATTTAGAACTTGCTTTTAATGTAAACTAAAGCTTGCCTTTCTAAAAGAGAAAAAAAAAAAAAAGAAAAAAAGATTTCTGTGTTTTAGGTTTTCCAAAATTAGAACAATCCAAAGAATTTAAAAAGCAGCTACCATGGCATAATATGGAATGTTAGCTAGGAAGCTAGGATCATAAGCTTAATAAATGTCACAAATATACTTCTGACAACAGCCCAAGAAGATACCTCTATGCACATGCTCCTCACTCGTCAAACGGCTCTTCTGGCACCCTACGATAAGCACTCGACTTCAAGGTGGGCTTGAACTGCAAGGTCAGCAGTTCAAACTCACCAGCCACTCCTCAGAAACCCTATGCAGGGTTGCTATGAGTCCACACCAACTCGATGGCACTTAACAACAACAGCCAGTGGCTACTGAACTCACTGCATTTTCAAACTGAACAACTTCTAACTTAAATGCCTGTTTGAAGGTTATCATTAGCCAGTTCAAGGACAGTCCCCAAGTCTAGACTAACTCTGGTTCTTCCCTGTGGATCTAGTCAAAATCCCTGAGACATAACTGCTGAGAGTGGCTGATTGATTAGCTCAGCAAGTCATTTCATTCTAAGATCTCTGGACCCCACCCCAAAGCACGATGTGATAGGGAGAGAAAACCCAGGACTACAGCCACCTCCAGGACAGTGTAACAGGAGAAAAGTAACCCTTAATTCAAGCCACAATCCAAAACCATGGGCTCATCTAAAACAAAATCTGAATGGGAATTAGCAGATCACTCCTCTTAGGACTCCAATAGGATTTGTAGTAGTTGTGGTTCATGATACTAAAAATGGGTTATCAATTTCCCCCAAGGTAGAATGAGACCATTTACTGCATCTTTGGCTGAGGCAGATACAACTGTGAGTAACGCTTCCATAGTTTATAGGGAGTGGGCCTGAAACCAGTACCATTTTTTTTAGGATTAAGAAGGGGCTTTTGCTTTTAATATATTACACGTAAGTATTATGCAGTTCTTAAAAGATTTCTACCTACTACTTCATTAAATGTACAAAGCATAGTACAGAACAATGTGCATAAAATTATTCCTTTCATGTAAAACTTTTTAAAGGATACATTTTTGTGCAAAAATAAAGATAAATTTTTATGGAAGTAATGAGAAGAAATTGCTACCAATTACCAGAGAAGAACTGAAGTTGGAGGTGACATGAGGAAGAGGGAGGAGCCTTTCACTTTTTATTCATGTCTATTTTTCACATTTCTACACTGATTGAAAGTTCGGATAATGTACTAATATTACTTTTATCATTATTCATCTACATGTCATCTGAAGAGTGAGAGAAAAAAATTGCATTATATTTTCATGTTTAAATTTCCCAGTAAAACAACAAAAGCCTCTTAACAAAGTTAAGGAGCCCTGGTAGCACAAGTTAATAAGCTTAATCACTCAGCTGCTAATTGTAAGGTTGCCAGTTCAAACTCACCAGCCACTCAGCAGGAGAAAGATGTGGCAGTCTGCTTCCGTAAAGATTTATCATCTTGGAAACCCTGTTAGACAGCTTGACTCTGTCCCATAGTCACTCTGAGGCAGAATCAACTCAATGACAATGAGTTTAATTTAATTTTTGGTATAAGTGTTGTATTAGATTAAATTACAAAAGGAAGAAAAGAGTACTTTAACAAATATTCATGAATTAGTAAGCCAGACACTGTTTCTGGAGTTAAGGATATAGCAGTCAACTAAATAGAAAAATCATCAAAGAAATCCTGATAAAATGTATATGCTAGGCACTAAGACCATAGAAGAATTGATGCTTTTGAGTTATGGTGTTGGAGGAGAATATTGAAAGTGTCACGGACTGCCAAAAGAACCAATAGATCCATTTTGGAAGAAGTGCAGCCAGAGTGCTCCTTGGAGGCCAGGATGGCCAAACTTCATCTCTCATACTTTGGCCATATTGTCAGGAGGGACCAGTCACTGGAGAAGGATATCATGTTTGGTAAGGTGGAGGGTCAGAGAAAAAGAGGAAGACCCCCAACAAGATGGACTGGCCAAGTGGCAGCATCGATGGATTCAAATGTGGCAACAGTAGTGAGGTTGGCCCAGGATTGGGCAGTGTTTCGTTCTGCTGTACATAAGGTCACTATGAGTCAGTACTGACTCGATGGCACCTAACAATAACATCTTGAGGTAAGGAGGGTGGTGGCTGCATACAATTAGCGCTGGACTTAGATCCACAAAGTCAGCAGTGGGAGAAAGATGAGCTTTCTGCTTCCTCAAAGGTTTAAAAAGTCTTGGAAATCCTACACAGGGTAGTTATGAGTCAGTAGAACTGACTCAACGGCTCTTAACAATAACAACACTAATCGCCTTTATGTGTGCATCCTGAAAACAGACTGTATTACCATTTTAAAGAACAGAAAATTTAGGTTCACAAGTAAAACTGCTTGTCTTAAAGGATATGATTATTAAGTGAAAGAATTAACAAGAGGCCTCTGAGGGATAAAAAACAATAATAAATATCCTCTGGTACATCATGGAACTATAGAGAAGATAAGGAAACACACAGAACACATGGAAATATGCTAAAGCCATTGGGGATCTAAACAAACATCAGGGATCATGATGATGTGTGTGACTACAGTTTAGGGATTACAGCTTTACTGTATTATTGTTGTTGTTGAGTTCCATCGAATTGGCTCTAACTCATAGAGACCCTGTACAGGATTTCCAAGGAGCAACTGGTGACTTTGAACTACTGTTCTTTTGGTTAGCAGTGCAGTGCTAATCCTATAGCACATCACCAGGACACTATTTTTAAAAATGTTAAAAAAGAAACAAAAACTTGTAAGCTTGCTGGCCTCAGATATTTTTAACACAACACAAAGTAAGTGTATACAGTTGTTTTTGACACTAATGTTGAAAACCTTGCTAAATAAAAGACGTTTCTGTGACATTTGGAGTCCTGGTGTAGCACTATAGGAAAAGAACTGGACCACAAGGTTGGTTTGAACTGAAAAGTTGGTGGTTCAAACTTACCAGCAGCTCCTGTACAGGGCTGCTATGAGTCAGAACTGACCGGACAGCATTTAGCAACAATAACATGTGACATTTGGAGTCCTGGTAGGGTGCTGAAGGATAAGTGCTGGACTACAAGGTCAGTTTGAGCTATAAGGTTCGCAGTTCAATCCCACAAGCTGCTCCATGGAAAACCTATACCCCTGGTTTCCACTATGAGTCGGAACCATCTGGACAGCACTAAACAACAACAACAAAAATATGTGACAATTTCTATACTTATTTCTCTCCCTTTCTTTTAAAGTATGCTTCTGCTTAGCTTTTTCAAAATATAAACTCTGTTAGGTACCAATGCATACATTTTTATTATCACGTCTGGAAACACCTTGGTTTCTCCACTCCAAAGTCAAAATACTAATAACTATTCACCTATCTCATACCATTAGAAAATAATTTTACTTTCAAAGTTAGTGGATAAAAATGTTTCTTTAATATTTTTCTCAGTATAAATGCCTTTGTTATAAATTAGGGGCATCTTTAGGAAGATTTCATAATGAATAAGGCAGTGCTCGTCTATAACTTAGCAGGGATGCATTCTAGGATTCAGATACTATGTAGGAGCATGGATTTTGCCCATCTATTCTACCAACTGGATTCCTGGTGTGGTGCTGTGGGATCAGCAGTGGACTTTGAATCACAAAGTTAGCAGTTCAAACCTTGTATACAAGGTGGCTATGTGTTGGAACTGACTCAATGGCTCTTAACAAAAACAACATTCTATCAATATAAGGTCTTATATTTCCTTAATGTAAAATTACTAAAATATGGAAGAAAATCATTCTTACCCATAACCATATTACCCAAAAACAATTATCTCTAATTCTTACCCTTCATCGCATTACTTTGAAATAATCACCATTAACATTTAGCGTATTTCCTTCTACCCTGTTCTCTCTATATTGATGTAATGTTTAGATCATACTACACATATAATCTTCTATCTTATATTCTAATGTCACTGTTTGCCTTAAATAATAAAAGTTATTTACAATAATAGTTTTTCATTAGTATTCCTTAAATGTGTATGTGCTATAATTTGCTTATTTCTCCCTCTAAGGCTGAGAACTGAAGTGATTTCTATTTTTTTCAATTGCAAACAATGTCTTAAATGAACACTTTTCAGCAAAAATCATTATTTTCTATGGAATGACTAGATTACCTAGGAGAATTGCCACATGTGGAGATAAGAGTAGTACACATATTCTGTATACTAAACACTGTGCCATGTGAGTTTTTTCACACTCTTTAAATATACATCAGGGGTCACGGTCATTTCTTAACAATTGATTTCTTAACTAGAACCACATAAATGTTTTTTTTTAAACTTAATTATTAACAATTTCAAACATAAAATTTGTCAGAATAATAAGGTGAGCCCCATGTACCCATCACCTTGTTTAAAAGGCTATCAATTGTAATTGCTGTTGTGAGCTATTTATTTCATCTCTATACCTACCATTTCTCTATCCCTAGTTAGCTTTTGCTAATTTGATAGGTTAAAAATTGCATTGATTTTTACTTCCTATTGCCCGATTGGAGTCCTGGTATGGTGCTGTGTGTTAATGTGCTGGACTGCAAGGTCGGTATGAAACACAAGGTCGAGGGTTCAAGCTCACTAGCCAATCCTCAGAAACCCTATACAGGGTCGCTATGGGTTGGAACCGACTCAACAGCACTTAACAACGACAACAACAGTATCCCAAATTAATGAATGGCTCACGTTTTCAGATAAGCAGAATATCCAGATTTTACAAAATTGTTTTTTAAGGTTTTAATTAAAACTGCAATTCAGTAATATTGATGCTTAGTCTCTGAAGTTTATTTCACTGGACAAAGTACACATACAGAACATACAGACAGACCCCAAATCATTAACCCGTAAAAATGAGTATTGCCAAAAGTGGCTAAAAAATATCCCAAGTCTCGTATTTTGTGTTTTAGAAGAGTTTTTTTTTACTTATTTCTCTTCATCTTGAACAGCAAATCAGACCATGAATTATTAAGAAAGGTGTGCCGGAAGAATAAATTAAGAATACACAATCTCTTGCTGCCCCTTGTTCTCTGGCTATGACCTCCAAGTGGAACACAGTTACCTGTAATAGCCAGGCATCACAATATGGACACCAGCACTAGGTTGGCAAATATCTGCCGCACTCTTATCATCCATTTTGCGCACTGAGTCTGTGAAAGGGCCCGTGGCATTGATAACACATTTGGCTCTCACATCAAATTCCTGCCCTGTAAAAGAAAGCCGCATCAATCACATACCTCATTTGTTTCCCTGCTCACTGATGCTCTGGATTATTAATTCATCTATTAACTCAACCTGTGGCGCATTGTATTGGATACCACAATAAGTGACACAAGCAGGCAGAGTTACTGAAGTGCTAAACAAAAGGTTTGCATTTGATTAAATTTACCAAAACCAAGCTCAAATTGGGGGGGGGGGGGGTTGGGGGTGCAGGAAGGGAAGCATGCCACTCTTTCATTTCTGCTCTCCGTCTATTTTGTGAGCAAAGTGTGATACGTAAATAACACTACACTTTGGAAACAGAGCGGCCATCAAACAATAGTTGTCATAGGCTTGGTTTTATCCAACAAAAAGGTATTATTTTGAAGCTTTGCCTAAACGACCCTAGAAACAAGACAAGAAAATCTAACCAAAGTTAAAAGTGATTGACTTTAATGTCATGTAAACGCATTGCCTATGTCGCCTAAATGGTGCTTTGAAACCTGGCACACTTATTTAATTTTATTAATAACATGTTTCTATAAAGAAAATGGATTGCACTCATAGCTTTGGGTACTTTGTGGGCATTTATTATGATCATTATCATTATTATTATTTAACACAAAGGGAAGAAATTGCCAATTCCCATAAGGGAAAATTTTCATGTTAAACCAGTCATTGTTGACAATAAGGAATATAATTAGTGTGACTCTCTGAAGTCTAACTTAAATGAAAGAGAAATGACAGAAAAATTAGAATTCAGTCATTATATAAGCACGGCAAGATGCTAAGAAATACCTCCCCAACAGAGACCCTAACGATTCATACCTGTGAGTACATCCTTGCACCGTGCACCACTCACACGCTCCTGCCCTGTCTGGGGGTCTGTCTTCTTGAGCAAACTCACGACCTCCATATAATTAGCTGTGGCAGCCCCATATCTGGCAGCAGTGAGAGCAATAGCGAGGTTCATCCGTGCATCATTGTGTTGTCCTGCAGCAAAGGAAAGAAGCAGAGGAAGGACAGGAGTCACCTCGAGCCAAGTGTGTCACAAGAGATATGTCGCATCTGTGTCTGTCACCCAGAAGCGACATGCCACGTGGTCAGCTCTAGAGGGGGCTTTGTAAAAATACACGGTCATACTCGGTCAGGCATTACCCTGCCACTTCAGCTTCAACAAGTGTATTGTGTGTTCCTCAAAAATGGTGAAAAACATTTCTTTTCTACAAAGCTGACATCAATGATCTGAAAGTTAAGAAATAAGTAATTATTCTCTCAGTTTGGGAACATATGTATGTCAGACTTTTCTTAATACAGACAACCCATAAGCATGAAAGTGAAGCAATTCAAAACTTCAGTTTTGACACCCCAACTGGTGTTGATTAACAATTTATACAAGAATGTGCTCTATCTAATATTCAAAATCAAGAGCTCAGTCTTCCAAAGAGAATCTCAGTGTTCCATAAAAGGATTTTTCTTGGTCTAAATGTTTATCAGAGCTCCTCAAAGTGTAACTTTTTTTTTTTTAATACCGCACATAAAAGGTAAGAAATTAAGCAGAGCAAAATTTAATTACAGAACAATTCCTACCTGTATTGTTAAAGATTTATTGCTGAAAAATCCTAGTTAAAGAAAACTAAGGGGGAGAAGAAAGGGGGGAAAGATGATTAATCACTTTAAAATACTGGCATCACTAGAGACTTTTTCTATTTATTATTGCCAGTGGAGTTAATGCTGACCAGGAAGAATTACTCTACATTGCAGGGGCCAGGTTCTCTGTGCCCTGAATAATTAATTATCCAGAGCTGGATGTATTGAAGTAGAGTTCAAATTCCACACATTGGGATCAGTTCCATCAAGATAATACTGATAAAGGGATGGATATGTAATGGATATTGTTGTTGATTTATGTTGCCAGCATACCAAACATTTAGTATAAATGGTTTATGTAAAGATTCTTCCTTGTGATTCAGGCTGTGTAGGGCTAGAAGCACTACACAAGTAATCTATTCCAGCTAAAAGGGCAAAGTTATAAAGAGAATCAATGACTGAAGATTCTGCTGCACCTCCCCACAAACATCTTATTCTAAAACCACTGAACTAATACAATCATCCAAGAACCTTTCCCCCAAAATTAAATGCTCTATCAAGTGAAGAACATACATTAAACTTCAACATGCAGAATAAGGAGCTATATTATCCCAAAAAAGTAGAAGAGGAAAAAAAAAAAACAAACAATAACAGTAGCAATTCTTTCAGTTGTCTCCTAAGAATGGCCCTAAGTGCCTATTAAAATAATCGCAGGTATTTTTAGAGTTAAGTTTAAGAAAACAAATTCTATTCATGTCAGGGTCCTTACTGAAAATAGGAATGTGCTCCACAGAGTTAAATGCATGAAACCAGCCCAGATAAACTCAATTGGAATTCCACTGACCATAGATCTGTGTTAGCAGAAATTACCCAAATCTTTCTAGTACTCAATCTTTCTAGTAGATTTGGGTTTATAACAAAGAAACACCCTATTCAATAGAGGTAGATATTTTGCAGTACAAAAAATCAAGGTATGTTTGCTCTCACTATAGGCATATGGTATGGAAACTCCCACCCATTCAGATATATCTTGATGTACACACAGAACAAATACCTCAAAAACCATATGTTAATGAACTATTATAAATACTAAATTATACCACTTCTAAATAGAGCCCAGACAAATCCCATTTATCAAATGATGGTTTTCTTCATGAGCTTTTATCTTTATTAAAAGGAACAAAATTCTAAGCTGACTTTGAAAACAAAATTCGTATTTATATTTAAATACATATACATTTAAGTTACAAAATCTCATTGGAGCATTTTATGAGAATGAATGGTATAGTTTATCAAGCTGTTTCTTCTATATAAATAATACCTCCCCAATTAGTTTTTTAATTCCAAATACTATTGAAGGTTGTTAGTTAAAAATGTGAAGTGGAAGCAAGTCCTGGGATCCTTATTTTTCCACCCTCACCCCAAGCAGCCTGCAGTATTCGCTTTGACTTAATTGGGTATGTCACTTATATATGAAGATCTTTTGTGGTATAATCCTCATCTGTCATAATTCTTCCGTTCCCATGTTCTTACTCTCTAGATTGTCAAGCTATTTACAACTCACTGAATACTCATGTTGTTTCACACCTTTACTCACGACAATTCTTCTGCTTGGATTACCATTCTGGAAGTTCTGGAAAACTCCTATTCATCATTAGTGATCTGCTTCACATATCTCCCTACGACATCTTCCTTTTTTTGTTCCATCTAAGACAAAGTTGTTAAGTGCCATCAAGTCGGTTCTGACCCATAGCGACCCTACATAGGGTTTCCTAAGAGTGACTGGTAAGCTGGAGCCGCTGGCTTACAATTCAAAGTGACTTTGCAGTCTGGCACATTAACCCACAGTGCCACACCAGGACTCCTCTTCCTACCCATTTTAAATTCACTCTTCACCCTGAGATACTCAGATGCTCGCAGCGTATGCCTCCTGGGATAAGTGATATATTTTCATTATTCTTAACTAAATCCCCCAACACCTTTTCTTGACATTTTGAAAGGTATCTACATGCCTCCTATAATTTTATTTTTGGAGAAAAAAAGTTTTTGACAGCACTGTATGTCATTGAAATGTGATACAATAATCTCAACTCCCCCACCCCAATTGATCTACTTATTATTTTGGATATTCAAATACGTTGCCTTAGAGCCAAGAAACATTTTACTGTATTTCACTGAACAGTGCATAGCTTTATATTGGCACTGGTACAAGGACCCAGACGGAGACTATGAAAATCTGTTTCTTACTCTGTTCTCCTTTTGCGCTTGAAATCTTACATATGTGCACATACTGAGCTTACAACTCATAGGAGAGGAAGCACAGGAGAGGTGGAACTGTAACTATTTTCCCTTGTTTGGAAAAACAAAATCTCAAAATCCTTAGACAAGGAGTTTGCCTAATTCTCAGTGTCCTTACATACAGTATAGTAAGAGGCATTTTCAGTGAAAAACGTATGCCCATTTTAAGATGTAAACATTTAAAAGATATTCCTCAAAGATAAATATTTTGGAGACATAGCAATACTGCTTTCCTCAGAAAGTCAAAGTTTGAACATGATCATACGTTTCCACATATAATATGTCCACATAAATAATGTGCACATGCACACTGCAAGACTAGGACACTAGCATGCATAAGTTGCACAGTTTGCATAAAACCATATCATACTATCATACACTCTATTTGCATAAAATATAGTAAGTTAATATGCAAAATATCTGGAAAACTAGAAAAAATCATTAAATCTATAAAGGGTATAAAGTATGGATGAAAAAAAAAAAAACAGGTAACAAATTACCTGGCATTTTCCTGTACTTTCCAGGAAAATTCTGTAATGCTCTGAAATTCTACATATAGTATTACTTGCAATCTAGGATAATTATAGTCATAGTACACAGATCATTTTATGAATTTAGGAATTGGTGTAGAAATTCTACTTCTTTGTAGAAAAAAAAAGTTCTTAATTAATAACACTTGTCTATAAACTCTAAATCAACTAAAAGTGTCACTATTGAAATGTTGAGAATATTTCCTTCCATCAGCCTGTAACCTGAACTGGGTGGGTCTTGTGCAATCACTTTGACTATTCTGTTGTTGTTGTTGTGAAGTGCCATTGACTCAGTTCCGACCCATAGTGACCCTGTATAGGGTTTCCGAGGAGCAGCTGGTGAGCTTGAACTGGTGACCTTGCAGTTTAAACTGGTGACCTTGCAGTTTAAACGGCTTTTCAGTCTGGGTGCACTAACCCGACCCTGTATAGGGTTTCCAAGGCTGTAAATCTTTATGGGAGCAGAAAGCCTCATCTTTCTCCCACAGAACAGCTGGTAGTTTCAAACTGCTGACCCTGAGGTTCACAGCCCAATTTGTAACCACTAAGTAGCGTAGTGGTTACGAATCGGGCTGCGAACCTTAAGGTCAGCGGTTCGAAACTACCAGCCGCTCCGCAGGAGAAAGATGAGGCTTTCTACTCCCGTAAAGATTTACACCCTCGGAAACCCTGTACAGGGTCGCTATGGGTCGGAACTGACTCGATGGCACATAACAACAACAACAACAAGCTACCAGAGCTCTATACCAGAGCTCTATTCTAGCAAGGCTTTAAAAGATTCTTGAAAGAGAGACTATACCTCCTTAAGGCTTTAACCCCATTTACAGCACAATTCACACAGCATGTTTCACTGTCTCAGATTAACCTTGTCACAATGACCTCTGGAAGCTTCCTCTAAGCAATCTGGCAGAGTGAATTCAAAGGCTAACCTACCTAACTCAAGCTTTCAAAGAATCATTACATTTAAGACTGCTCTTTCTGATGGGACCAGTGAAGATGGACATAAAGCAAAAGAGGAAAGTGTGTGTGTTAAGTAAAGGAATCAGGATGAGTAAACTTAAAATGGAAAACTCAAAAAATGAGATCATTTTCATAGTAAATTGTGACAACAATGAAATGTTTAAAGGAAATTACTCATCAAAGTGATCCTCAGTGTAGGGAGTTGTGGAGTCACAGAGGCACATGTGGTAGGGTACAGAGATGGCATCCTGAGATACAGTGGAGAAGAGCTCTGGGATTGGAATGACTGGGATTGCAGGTTTTAAGGGAACCTTAACTGGCTGGGAAAATGTGAGTGCTGCCCTTTTCTCCTCTGTGCTTTTGTGTCCTATAAAAGGAGAGGGGAGGCACTCTGGGGATTATACAAGGCATGGAAAGGCTCTTCTTTAATACTTGTCTGTCCCTTCCAGATTACAAATTAAACTTCACCTCAGTTTTGTTTTTCTCAGTTTGTACCAATATCTCTTAAAAGAGGTTGGGCTTTAGTCAAGAGTCAAATACAGATGTTTCATAAGGAAATCAAGTAAAAGAAGAAAAAAAATCAGAAACCAAATTAATCAGGCTGAGGTAAAAGTT